ATATTTCCACCCATTATCAAAAGAATAATTACAATAAAATACAATAAAATGGCGAAGATCGGGTCGCTATAACCTATAGCCTCCATACAACTGATTGTTCAAATATGAGATTTCTTTTTATAACTTCTCCATTTATGCAGCTAGAAACATGAAATTTCGTAATATTTTCACTCCTTATCAACAGAAAGTTTACAGTGAAATGAACAAAGATCGGGTCACTATAACCTTTTTATTACCTCCATACAACTGATTGTTCAGATATGGGGTTTTACTTTGAAACTCCTTTATATGGACAGCTAAAACCCAAGAATTTACACAGTCTACTGAGAAAATCTATGCTTTAAAAGCGTTATCTCCTATACCACTGATTGTTCAGATACCAGTTTTTGCGATATTCTCATAACTGAACAATCAGTTGTATGGGAGATATATGTTATATGGCTCGATTCTTCCGGTTCCGACAAATGATTAGTGCATTATAAAAATACATCCACCTAACAAATCTCATCCGGATATCTCGAAAACTGAGAGACTAGATTGCATACAAACAGACGGGCAGACGGACATGGCTAAATCGACGAAGCTCGACGTTCTGTTCATTTAAGTATACATTTCAATGGGTCTATCTCTTCTAATTGTGGTACTTACAAACATCCGACCAAAGTTATAATACCGTTTCATGCTCATGAAAGGTATAAAAGTAGGGGTATACTTTTTTCGATATAGAACAATCCTAGGGGGTGAGAGCATTACAATTCCACTTTACTGTTTTTGGACCATCCTAGTGTACATATGCATGCCTTGTAAAACTGTTTTTTAAGTCATATCTGTGCACATTCGGTTTTCACATTAAAAAACTAAGAATAACTGCTATTTTTAATCGAAAAAATTAAAATCATAGTATAACGATTAAAAATGATCGAAAAAAATAAAAATCACAAAATAACGATTAAAAATGATCGAAAAAATAAAAATCATAATATAACGATTAAAGATGATCGAAAAAATAAAAGTCACAGAATAACGATTAAAAATGATCGAAAAAGTAAAAATCATAAAATAACGATTAAAAATGATCGAAAAAATAAAAATCATAGTATAACGATTAAAAACGATCGAAAAAATAAAAATCATAAAATAACCATTAAAAATAATCAAAAAAATACAAATCGCAACATAACGATTAAATTTTGATTTTTATTATAAAAATCATAACGGTTACGGTCCCTGTAAATTAGTCAAAGATTCAAAGTACAAATTTTTCATATAATGAAACTAGTTCATAGTTTTTCTCTTTTTACTTTTAATATAAACATTTCTAAAATAAATGTATTTTTTGATTGTTCTTCGTATTTTCTGTCTTTTTTTAGTGCCTTATTTTGCTTTTTTTTGCAATAGCTAGTGCCTTTTCCTGCCTTTTTTGCTATTTTGTTTTGCCTTTTTTGCAATAGCTAGTGCCTTTTCCTGCCTTTTTCGCTATTTTATTTTGCCTTTTCCAGCCTATTTCGTTATTTTATTTTGCCTTTTTTATAGGGTTTTAGGTCCTAAAAATCCGTTCCCTGATTATAAAGCATCTGAAATCTAATTTATTTTTTATGAATTTATTTGTTTAACTGGGATGTGTAAATATTTAAATCGATAAATACATTTCACTGTGAGTTTAGCGACGTTCCGATATAAGTTTACTCAAATCGCTATTTCGATACTTCTTATATGAGTGAACCGAAAGTATCGATACCTACTTATATCGATAATTTTTCATCCTTTTATATGCAGTAAAGCGAAAGTAAGGCGTTATCTGTGACATACCTTTTGCGACACCTGAGTGGAAGATCGCCCTATCTCAGCGCACATAAGGACAAAGTGACTAATTACGACGACAAAAATAGAAAAGCAAAGGTCTTTAAATCTTATCATACACACCTTTCCAATACTCCTTATAAACCAGTCCACAATGTAACATACACATTTTGACTTTTAACGCAACGCAGCAGCTTAAGCGGAAGCGCAAAGTTGGGTTTTCTATCGTGCGTCGAATTAAATAATTTTTGTTTGAAGCGACGATAAAATAGTTTAGCTTGCCATTTTATTCTTATTACCAACTAATAGTTTTGTCAGCATGGAAACTGAGGCGTGAGGTATGCACTTTATTTTGCGAGTTTTGTTAGTAATATGGTTGTTTGTAAAATGGGTATAATACCTATTTTATAAATTAGCTTTTTTATTGAAAAAATTTTGAAATTCTTATATTAGTTAGAGTTATAAAAAAAGTTCCAACGAGTACAGCAAATTCTCCTCAACAGTTCGAAAATCCAACAAATTGCCAATGTAAAAATATCACGAACTCGTCCCCCCTTTTTCCCCTTCATTAAACAGAGCATTTATTTCTTAAGTCGTTTATTGGGACGAATCGAAATATAGGAGGACGAAAATGTTTACTCCATATCGATGGCTGAGTGGAAGATCGACCAATCTCGGCAGCCAGTTCGAAAACGCCCTATCTCAGAAAAATTTTCAACAACGCTCTATCTCAGAAAACTTTTCAAGAACGCCCTACTTCTGTATTTGATTGAAAAACGACCTATCCCAGAATTTGGTTGAAGAACGCCCTATCTTAGCTGCCGATTCAAAAACGCCCAGCTCAGCTTATTTTCAATGTATTTTCGTTTGAGATAGGGCCTTTTTGAACCGAATTATGAAATAGGGCGTTATTCAACCGAATTCTGAGATAGGGTATTTTTCAATAAAATTCTGAAATAGGGGGTTTTTCAATCAAATTANAGAATTTGGTTGAAGAACGCCCTATCTTAGCTGCCGATTCAAAAACGCCCAGCTCAGCTTATTTTCAATGTATTTTCGTTTGAGATAGGGCCTTTTTGAACCGAATTATGAAATAGGGCGTTATTCAACCGAATTCTGAGATAGGGTATTTTTCAATAAAATTCTGAAATAGGGGGTTTTTCAATCAAATTATGAAGTAGGGCGTTTTTGAAAAGTTTTCTGAGATAGGGCGTTTTCGAACTGGCTGCCGAGATAGGTCGATTTTCCACTCAGCCATCAATATGTGTTTGACAGATTTCAATGTAATTTGGTATCCAGAGTTTTAGTTGTCAATAATTTCGAAACTGATATGAAATTTTCAAAATTCAAAATGGCAGATACAATATGGCGGAAGATATCTTAAAAAATTTATAGATTGTTATGAAGCTTGGTATCCAGAGATTTTCGTCGTCACTGGTTTCGAAATTGATATTAAATTTTCAAAAATCAAACTGGCGGATCCAATATGGTAGACCACTTTTTTAAATTATAGTTTGTTATCAAGCTTGGTATTCAGAGATCCTCGTTTTCTTTGATTACGAAATTGAAATTAAATTTTCAAAATTGAGTGGTGCTAAAGGCAATGCATTGCGTTAAAAATAAAACGCATATTGTTCGGGACGCCATATTTGATCCGCCATTTTGAATTTTTGAAAATATAGCATCAATTTTGAAATCAGTTACGACTAAAATCTCTGGATGCCAAGCTTCATAACAATCTATACAAATTGTGGAAATCGTCCGCCATATTGGATCCGGCACTTTGATATTTTAAAATTAAATTTCAATTTCGAAATCAATGACGACGAAAAGCTCTGGATACCAAGCTTCGTAATAATCTATACATTTTTTAATAAATCGTCCGCCATATTGGATCCGCCATTTTGAATTTTGGAAATTTTTTTAATATTCGAATTTAGTGACGACGAGATTCCCTAATTACCAAATTTCATTGAAATCTATCAAATACATATGGAGTAAATACCAAGCTTCATAAAAATTTACACATTTTTGAAGAAATCGTCCGCCATGTTGGATCCACAATTTTGATTTTTTTAAATTGAGCATCAATGTCGAAATCAGTGACGACGAAATCTCTGGACACCGAGCTTCATAAAAATATAAATATTTTCTAAGAAATCGTCTGCCATATTGAATCCGCAATTCACAATGAATTTTGGAAATTTTCGAAATCAGTGATGATGAAAATCCCTAAATACCAAATTTCATTGAAATCTGTCAAATACATATGGAGTAATCATTTTTTGTCGTCCTATATTGTCGATTCTTCCCTATGTGCAGCGCCCTATTTCAGAATTTGATTGCAAAACGCCCTATCTCTGCTGCCGATTCAAAACGCCCTATCTCAAATATTTTCAATATATTTTCAGTTGAGGTATCCATATATATATTTGTTCATTAGCAACACTAGAAGTAATATGATTACTTAGACAAAAAATTCAACCTTTGAAAGGTTCCCACTAAACTTTACAGCTACAAAGTTTTGCTTGCACTTAGCTGTGGTATCACTAACTTTGTAAAAATATATCCACACTTTAGATTTTGGTGGTGTCATTGCTTAAAGCAATTATTTTTATAAAAACGAAACAATTATTTTCCATATAAAAAATATGGCCGACAAGATATGACACTTGCTCAAATCGATTTGATACAAGTACTTTTCTTTCGATACCAAGTAGGTATGGAAACCAGGATTCTAGTAAAATAAGTAGTTGATATCGAAACAAAAGTATCGAGTACATACTCGTATTTACTTGTATCGGAACATCCCTATATGGGTTAATACTTAACCATTTATCGAAGTTCCGACTGTTCCTTTTTCTTATATATTTTTAATTCATTCGATACATATCTCATACATATGTTTATATCCATGTACTTTTTTTATTTGCATCTCTAAAGCAAATCCCAAATGTAGTCAGAAAAAAAGAAAGTTGCAGAGTTGATTTTTTGCAAATAAAGACGACATTCGATTGTTTCTACAAAAATTCGTTTTTATCCGAATTTTAGCATCATAAAGTTCGATTTCGAAAATTCGCCATCTTGGGGCTAAAGTTCGATTAAAGTTCGAATCTCGAAGCTTCGAATTTCGAATTTACCCATTCCTAGTAGTCAGCATGAAAACAAGTCGTATAGTTTGTATATGTACGAGTACATACCAATAAAGCCATCTTCTTTGCAATGCTCATTTCTCCTCGATGTGAGCTATGTGCATGGCGTGTTTCCTGCCCAAGTGATAAGTAAATTTGAGCGTAGCAAATCGTTATGATGAAAAATGCTCCGCCATTCGATCCAAGAATTGCCACCAAGTACACCGTGTCAATAGGTTCACGTATCTCCATCGGCAAACATATACTGCAAAGAGAATGAAAACTAATTACCACATAATCAAGAGAGGTTAATAATGGCATCCTTTCACTCAAATAATTTCCATCTTGTTATGAAACGCAATCAATCAACAATAACCAAATTACGAACACACACAGAAAAAAATCACGTAGAATTCCAGGAAGCCTTATTGAATATGGATATCTGCCGTTACTACAATATGGGTATCAATCCAACAGTTTTTGAAAGGGAATTTATTTCTAAACTACATGTATGAGGGTTGGCAACTGTTTGCAAAATCAAATGCTACATGAATTAAGGGAACTAAATTGAAATATGTATCACAATATAGGTGTCCGACGGAAGGGGTTTAATACAGGGATCGTAAATAGCAGTTACTTTTTTACAACAGTTAAACTTGGCCAGATATTTTTAAAGTTCGGAAGCCTTTCCGGATAGTAAACAAACGGCTTATCCAAATAAAACAAATAGAAATAACGATCGAAGGCTACCACTTCTGTTTATATTTTTTTTTATAATTTAATACAAAATAAATGCATATACCTACCTGACCCAAGGTTTGCTCTATGGTAATTAAAAAACATGTTTTATTTAAATATTTTTCAATAGCTGGCTTTCTGCGGATTTCCTTGTTTAAATATTTCAGTTTCAAAGCTATTTTAATCCTCTTTCAGTTGATACCAAACTTGTTTAATTTGGAAAAGCGGTTTGTTTATTATTAGGAAAGGACTTTTATTTTCGACGTAAAAATATCAGGCCAAGTTTAGCTGTTGAAAAAAAGGAACTGTTATTTACGGTCCCTGGTTTAATACGGTCTTAGATGGAAAATATTTCGAAGAGGATATCCACCTATTTTAAAAGTCGAATTTAAATTAATTATACTTAAGTTAAAGTGTCAAACGTAAGAGTGTTTATAAACGTTCAGCTTGAACATATAGATTATTCTGAGGTATATTTATATTACAAGCTAAATGAGTTATTAAAATATAGGTTTTAATCGAAAGAGTCTTGGAAAGCCCACATGTATAGCAGGATTTCCACATGTTTGAAAATTCACATTCAACCTGAATAATAATTAGGTAATTTGAACACGTATGTATCACAATGTGGGTGCCAGACGAAAGAGGTTTAAAAGGGTTGCCAGCTGTTTAAAAAGTTAAATTCAAACTATTCAATACTTTTAATGATTTGTTTAATTATGAGTATCAATCGAAATACTTTTGAAAGGGCTTCATTTCTAAACTAAATGTAAGTAAGAAAAAGTATCATCTGAGAGAGATTTAGAAAAGTTTTTGTTTGAAAATATTCTGCAGATGGTTACAAAAATTATACATCTGCTGTTTTTGCATACTTTAAGTATGTTGAGCTTTATTTAAATAAATTACACCTAATGTAGCACGCAGAAATTTCATATGCTCAGCGAGGCGGGTGAGGGCGATCTAGTAACCATATAGTTTTTTTATTTGAACTGAACTAAATTTCGTTTTTGGTGTGATTGTAACTGTTTTTTTTTTTGAACTCAACTAAATTTCGTTTTTGGTGTGATTGTAACTCTCCCCTAATTTGAAGAAAGATGTTTTACACTTCCAACTCAGTGTCTAATAATTGCGTCACCTTTTAATCCCATTTCATTTATTTTCAAAAAACGTTAGTACAATAATAACACAGTGCGACAGCTATTTTACACTTTTGAAGCGACCTAGCAGAGATTGTTCATCTGGTCGAGTTATACACGAAACGGCCATTAAAAAGTTTCTAACACCCCCAAAATCTGGATTTAAGGCCAAAAAACCGTTTTTTCAGTTTCTTCTTAAAAAAAAATTCATTAAAAAACCAATTTTCAACCGATTTCAATGTTCTCAACGGTTTTGGGTAGAGAATTGTTGACGCTTTCGAAATATATATAGTGTTTTATTCATTTGAAAAAAGTATGATATGTTTTTTAAGCCAGAAGTTGAAATTTTTGGAAATTTCGTCCGGTTTTCTGGTTTCGACGTCATTTTTTTGCCACTAATTGACAATGAATGAACCTCTTTGGGCATGTGTCATCGAGAGGCATTCATTACTTAATTATACCACTTTTTTATTTTTGGAAAGGACTTAAAGTTTTCAAGTTATGCAGCATAATCCAAAATTTCATGTTTTGGTCTCAAACGTCCTATAGGGGTACTGTGCGTAAGTTAAGAAATTGGTTAAGTTTAAGGACATTGATGGTTTTTTAAGTAACAAATAGTCATTTTTAGCGATAGTTAGATTAAAAACATATATATCAGTGGTCGCAAACAATAATGACCTAAGTCGAGATATGTCGGTTTGTCCAATTAATCTTCGTTTAACAGAGCAATAATGCACTTTTATTTTTAATGTTTATCATATACTTGATTTAGAATGAGGGTTTGGTAAATATATACTACTAATTCGAGACTTTGGGCGTTTTCTGCAACCTTTTTTATGGCATTATTTCTGACTTTGAACTGAGAAACGATACCGATATGAATACAATTTTTTCCTGTAAAGCTGATGAAATCGGCCACCTAGTTCGTAGCTAGACTGACCAAGATTATCCAAATGAGAATGCCAAAAATGGATCTTGATGGACATTTTGCGTACAATTTCTAAATTAGTTTCCGAGAATTCTTGAACCACTTCCTTGTATATTGAACTTTCTTCATTTACAAGATAGCTATTACCCATAGAGATGAAACTCAGCTGTATTTTCTACTTGTTTCATCAATCGTCAGATTGCGAATCTGGTCATTAATGCGGTCACTAAAACGTCATATTCTTAATAAACTTCGCGTAATTAATTACACGGGATCATTCGCTCCAAAAAAATTGAAATGTGTGATAAACGCAACCGGTTTTGTTACGTGTGTGGCTTGTTTGTTGACAAGCCACATCGCTCGGAGTTTAAAAAGAATCAAGCAGTGGTTCACTCCTTCAACGACTTGTTTAAACTCTCATACGTTGAAAGTGCTTGGTATGAACCCGAAAGTGTTTGCTCGACGTGCTCTGCAGTACTGAAGAAAGTGAAATCCGGTAAGTGTTATAACCAGCATTTGTTATTTGAGACTCCCATGACTTGGCATTATCAACCGTATCACAAGTCGAAAGATTGCTACTTCTGTCAAACAGATACCGTTGGCCATCACTACAAAACTCGCAATCTCATAAAATATGCTAATGTGTTGACTGTATCGAGACCAACCCCGAAAGAAAACACAGGGGAGCCAACTGCAAACGGACAAGCAGACCCTTGCAGCGAGTTCCCGATTGAAAAAAATGAGGACTCGTCGTATGTTCCAAATCGGGCAGTAGTAAAGGAACGACATTTTATATCTAGCCAAGATTATAGTGATCTTAGTCGAGATTTGAATCTGTCTTATAGAGAAACAGAGATCCTGGGTTCACGAATAAAGCAGTGGAATGTAGTGGATGATGACTTTAAAGTGACATTCACACGAAACTTAGACTTATCGTCATTCGAAGAAGTTTTTAAGGCTGATGATATAGACAATAAACTTGTATATTGTGTTCATGTGGATAGATTGTTTGCTGCCTTCGATCACGTGTACTGCGCAAAAGATTGGCGATTATTTCTGGACGGTTCTTGCAAAAGTAAGTATTTTATTTATCATAAGTGTGAGAAAACCAAAATTAAGCAATATTAAAAAATTTACGTTTAATTCACGAAATTCGTAGGTCTGAAAGTAGTATTAATTCACAACGAGTAATCAGTTGCCAACAGTTCCAATAGCATACGCTACTGATATGAAAGAGACCTATCAAACGATGGAAAAGATTTTACGATTAATCAATTACAATAAACATCAATGGCAAATTGTCTCAGACCTCAAAGTTCTGACAATACTTCTGGGAATGCAAGGAGGCTACACTAAGCATCCGTGCTATTTGTGCGAATGGGACAGTCGTGCCAAGGATCCTTACAAGTGTAGCGTGTGGCCTCCGAGAAAGGGAATTCAAATTGGAATTAAAAATGTTCTCAATATCCCATTAGTAAAACCTGATAACATTATCTTGCCGCCATTGCACCTAAAGTTGGGCTACATGAAACAATTTGTAAAACGACTCGACAAAAACAGCGAGTCATTTCTGCACCTGGAAACAGTTTTTCCCAAACTAAGTGATGCTAAAATAAAAGAAGGTACCTACTTTCGAAGAATTTGCCGACTATTAATTTTTTCGAAAACGCATCTGCAACCATTTTAATTCTTTACTTTACAGGCATTTTCATCGGACCCCAGATTCGCAAGCTGATGATTGATGAGAATTTTGTCGAAAAACTGAACGAAGTAGAAAAGAGAGCATGGCTGAGTTTTATCTCTGTATGTCATAACTATCTTGGAAATGAAAGAAGTTCTAATTATAAGGAAGTGGTTCAAGAGTTTTTGGAAGCTTATGGAGAAATGGGATGCAAAATGTCAATCAAGATACATTTTTTGCACTCTCACTTGGATTTCTTCCCGGATAATCTGGGTCAGTTTAGCGACGAGCAAGGTGAACGATTTCACCAGGAAATCTCGGCAATAGAAAAGCGCTTTGCTGGAAAAAACCACGTTAAGATGATCGCTAATTACTGCTGGTCGCTCAAACGTGAAACCGACGACCTGTATTATAAGCGCAAAAGATCCAGGAAACATTTTTAATTCGAATTGGTTGAGGTATGTAGTTAGCGAGCATCTTAAAGTGGTTTTTTTTTTTGTATCTTGATTGACATTTTGCATCCCATTTCTACATAAGCTTCCAAAAGTAATTAGCTAACATCTTAACCATTGTTAAACATTTCCCATTGTTTTGTATAAAGTGTTCTAATGAGTGCAAAATTTTATGAAAAATATATATGTTATCAATCTAACTATCGCTAAAAACGACTGTTTGCTATCTAAAGGTTCACTTGCGCAGCCAAATTTATATTTTTGACTTAGAGTTAACATTAAATGAAGGCTGAAACTCGTACGGTTTAGACAACTTTTCAAATTAACATT